GATTATACATATAAAATATGAAAACTGTAAGATAAAAAATAGTGTTTATATAATTCATATAAAAATCATCTTGCAGGTGAACTATTAAAATTGCAAGTGCAAATAACAATATTAAATAATTTTTTTTTTAAATTAGAAATAGTAAAAAAAAAAAAAATCAAATTTAAATGTTTTATTTTTCTTAAATCTACATACTTTTAAGAACATTCTTGTCAAATTTTAAACAATTTTATCTACTAGTTTTATATTTGTAACAAAATATGATGAGAGCAACATTAATAGCCAATACTCTTGGCAGTCTGTTCGTATAGGGTTAAGGAACCAAACTACAAGACTCATCAGCACTGATGCTCAGTTAAATAAGTATAAAAGACTAATAAGAAACATGGATTATTATGAATTATATGTCCAGAAACCTTAATATCTTTTTTGATTTGATGATACCACATGTTTTTAAGTGTTGTAACATTAACAATCCTTAATTATATATATTATAATAACCAATATAGAATTACAAAAATTAGAAAACCAATTCTAAATGAATAAGTAATGGGAATGTGACATAACATTACATGTAAATTCAAATAATCGTAGACATATTTCATCCACTTTCGATTCTTATGGTATATTAAGTGGGAAGTACCAAAAAATTAAATTTCAAATATTAAAATTAAATGTTTACCTATCATCATAGCTACTGACAAATTTCTTATTTATTTTTCGAGATGGTGTGAACACAATAAGCTGTTTGTCACTTAAAGCTTCTAACAGGTGTTGATCAGTTATTTTGTTTGACCAGCTTTTTGAGCGTCGATGCTGTGGAACAAAGGCTACAATATCATGGTGACCACGGTCGCGAAAGTAGTTAATGGACAGCTCAATTCCTCGACAAGAAAACACTTTTCTGGGTTTTCCATGACTACAAAACAGTTAGAAAAACAAGTAAAAATATCAGCTATGAGAAAAACAGAACAAAAAAAATAACATATCCAACTAATAATCTATCCACACACATTATTTTATTTCTATGATACTTACGACATAGCAATATTACTTCCGTCAATAACAATTGGCCTTAATCTTTTCATCTGAACAGGAACAGTGATCTTCATTGAAGTACTATGTCCCTGGCTCAAAGGTACAGGAGCATTGTCTTGAAGTGCTGATGGAGTTGTCTTTGATTCAATTTGACCTTTCCAGTCATTAGATTTTTTACAATTCACAGCATTACCTTTATCACATGAAAAACTGTGACTAGTTTCACTGGACTTTGTACACATTACTGGAGTATCTTTAATATTACTTAAGGTAAGTGAAATCATTTGTTTTTCTTCCAAATGGTTAAATGACTTTTCATTTGTTATAAGAGTTCCTGATTTAAACATACTTATACTTTTGGATGATTTAATAAGTTTAGAGTGTCTTTTGCAAAGTGATTTTAGGATTTTTGAAGTTTTATATTTTGGTGTATTGATACTACCTGCTGAAATCCTCTTTTTCTTTTTTCTTCGTATCTGCCTCTTTTTCTTATGGTTTTTGTAAGTTTTATTCAGGACTTTTGTTTCCTCATTTGCTGGGTTAGTTTTTACAAATTGATCATCAAATTTTGAACCAGCAGAATCTACAAGAGTTGTAGAATTATTTACATTTTTATTATTTTCATCATTACAGGCACTTGTCATTTGTTTATTTTTTTGTATGTTTTTAATAAACTTGGAAGAAATGGTAGAACATTCTTGAGTGTCAGGCACTGAAACATCAGAATCTATTTCAATTATAGAGAGATTAGAAATATCACAATCAATTTCAATTACAGAGGCATCAGCATTCTGACTACTTCCCTTCTTTTCTTCAATGATAATGACACTATCATCTTTTTCACTAAAGCTGTCTACTGAAGCACGAGACCCAAGAAAAAAATCCTTTTGACGTGCACGAGAGTTGTTGACTTTTTGCACTTGCATGATCCAGAAGAGGAAAATCTCTTTGACGTTGTCTGTTAATTCTTCATACAAGTAACTTTTTACATCAATTGATACACTGAACAAGATTTTCACTACAAAAAGCAGTATCTAGTTAAGACTCTCTACTGCTACCTGTAAATGGTACAGAGATTTACCTGATCAGTAATATCACACAGTGTTCAACATTTCTTCCCGAGCCTGTAATACACAGGGAACAGTCTTGACTAGCATGTGCGATATCAACCGAGTAACTTTTCTGTAGTACAATAAATCATACCTAATTAATAAGTATAATATGGATCAGGCCAGGGTATGCAAAAACTCAGTCACATGTGGTTCACAGGAAAACTTCAGAATGAATTTCTACAAAAAGAAAAAGTGTTCTAAATTAATACATTAAGAACACAATATTCCTTGACATGTTGAAGAAAGAAAGAATAATATAATGTAACAGGCTTTCCCTATGCAACTATAAAACAACTGAAACATACCTCACCATCAATGCTTTTCCTTATCTCCCTTTTTTAACACAAGTTACATGTATGGACATTTTAAAAGAAAACCTCATATTTAAAATTATTATATCTTTAAAACTACTTGTCCTAGGTGAACTAAATTTCACCAAATTTAAATTGAGAACAAGTTTTATTCAGGAAAGTTTAGACACAATACAGGGTGTTTCAAATGGTGCATTTTGTAATATATTTTCCACTGTTCTTATCAGCATATCAAACCATTTTCTAAGTGAAGCTAACATAAATATAATCTAATTTGGACAATGTTCATTAATCCTTACAATATCCTGCATGCTAACATATTTTATTCAAATCATTAATTCTGTACTGTTAAAAAAGGAGAAATGAAAGTAATGCTAGTTTGTGACAATAGCTATTTAGACATTCAGTATAATGCCCTGTACATGTAAAAGCATGATACATGAAAAACTGCATATAAATTCAGTTTTGCTTTGATTAATTAAATAAATAAAAAAAACAAGATTTTTAAAAATCTATACACCAGGATTGACTTGCAGTCTTAATTTCTACATTATGCTTTTGTTATTACACTTAACTATTTAAATAAAAGTAACTAAATACTCATCAGTAAAATTTTAAAATAAGGAATTTTTGAGCTTATCAAAAAACATCATTGAAATAAAAAATAAAATTTCATGAGTTTGAGCACACTGTGTAACATTACACTCAGTAATTGCATGGTGTTTTCTTTAGCTCTATGGGCAGCATCTAATAGGTAGCTGTTGCAACTTATACATTTTGAAGCAAAGTTTACTGCTCCAGTAGGTACAAAGTAAAGCAACAAAATCATGAAATTGAATGGAAACACATGAAATAAAATTATGATATTCATATAAGATGTTATCCAAATGAAATATTGCAACTAAGATGAAAAGAAGTATTTTTAATTTTATTCTTAGCATGAAAATCACCTTTCACAAAGACTGGCTCGGTAAAGGCCTCGAAAATTCTTGGCCAAATCTTTAATGTTAAATAGACTTGTAATGTTTACTGAAAGTTTCCAAATTTCACGAAGATCCACAAAGTAAATACAGAACTACGGTAAAAATGAGTGTATATATATATATATATATATATATATATACCTTCACAGGTACAGCACTGGTCAATTTGACAAAGCCCATGAAAGATTGTTCATTAAAAATAGCAATGCTACACTAGAGAATTTTTTGTATGTGTAATTTTTTCTCCAGTAATACATGTATGTTTACAAGTTTATTAAGAGTGAATGTGTCAGACAATGACCTTTGTTTTGTATGGTGACTGGTAAAGTAATTAGTAATTGTCATTGGTGGTGGTTTTCCTAGTGGACAGTCTGATTGTTAATGGAACTTATAGTGTTGATGTATCATCTTTCTTGTACTTTTCTGGTGAAAATAATAGGACAATGGGACACGTATAAATTTTGGCAAGGTAGGAGTCATATCATTCTATGAAAGTTTAATTTTTCTAAAAAGGCTATTGCCCTTTAAAATGGGTTGCTTTCAGTTTCAGATGTGGTGAATGTAGTAAAGGGAGCTTGATAAATATTTAAATTATAAGGGCTGGCTTTGATTTTTATGATTTATTCTTCTTATGTTTAGTTTAGTCGTCTTTAAATTGTGTTATTTATCTTCCAATGGACTATTTTTTATCCTTTGGGATCCTAGCTGAGCATGGCTTAGTGGTTAGTGCCAGGCTATGGACCTGTAGGTTCACTGTTTGTGTCCAATTACTACTAAAAAAAAAAAAAATCATGCTCCACACTTTGGGGCCGAGGTGTGGTATAAAAGTAAGAGTGAAATTTCACTACTATGTCACATGAGTAGCCCAAGTAACAGTTTATTGTTGGGTTCTGTTTACTAAAACCAGCTACCTTCCCTCTAGTCTATCACTATCAGTTCAAAAAATAAGGATAGATACTGAGATAGTCATACATTGAGTAACTTTATGCAAATATTCAAAAACAAACCTCAGATTGTTTTTGTTTTTTTATGATTGTGTATGATTTTCTTGTGAAATTACATTTGTTCTTTACTTGAGATTCCTTTTGGTTTTAGTCTAACTCTATGTCTAAATACCAAACGAGGGTTCCTTTGTCACAGTTTGTGGTGATTAGATGAATCTATTTTCTTTTTAGAAATTGTTAGACTAGGCCTATACCTGCGTTAGTTTTTCTTTATTTTATTTAATTTGAAAATTTGAGTCAGGAGCTCTGTTAGTGTTACTTACTAATAATTACTAAATTACTATTAACATTATATCTAACAATCGCTTGCCATTTTTTAAAATTCAACTGCCTGTGGATTAATCTATTAACTAATTAAGGGGCGACAATTAACACGGAGCAGGCCCACCGACAGGGAGGGGGGCAACTGCCCAGGAGCCCGGGCAAATTAAACCTCTTTATGCCGTAAAGCATCTTTAGGCTATATCTTCATTTAATGATAAAAACATAGTTTTTGGCTTTTCTTTGCATATAGACGCTTGATACATTAAGAACGACCGAAATAATAATTAATATGTATTTGTTACTTCATAGATTTGATAGATATTTGTTACTTTATTAACGTTTATACTGTGAGGTAAAAACGTCTGCTGCTATGATTTTGTCTGGTTATTGAGCTCGTTGCTGTCCTAATTTAGGATCTTCTTTTTAATAAATTCTTGAAAATGTTAAGAAAGGGGTCCCGGCGAGGATGTTTTCCCCAGGGCCCGTGCTGGCTCTCGACGTTCCTGACACGGAGTGTTTAATTTAACTAGTTTTTTTGGCAAAAACTAAAGTAACACAAACCGAGCGTAGTAAAGTACAGAAAACATAACGTACTTACCAATGTACAATTTTAGCTATACTGCTCCCAATCTTGTCCTAACACAGCGTAACATCAACTACGAATCTAAACTAAAACGTGTTACTGTTAGAGCAGAGTTAAATTCAAAATACGAAGGTAGTTTTGATTGGATATAGTATACCACGTGACTTCTTATGTTCATTGTCTCGGATTCTTCCGATCGTGCCCCAATTTCTCCGAACGTATTGCTTTTGTCGGTGTTTGGTCGTTGTGTGCGACCTGGGAGGGTCAGGTTCTGTTCAGACTTATTCCCTTTTCCTTTACTATTGTTTATAAACTGCGAAATGCTACAAGGTTATAGAAGAAATCACGGCTTGAACACTAATGTAGAACTGCGTAGAAACGCTGATTTTACTTCCCTCTTCAGGGCCACACTTCTCCGAGTTGCCCAGAAAACGTGAATGTTTAATTAGTAAATTACGGCGCGTTGTATTATTCACCGCTGTGAGCCGGAAGTACATCCACTAGTGGCGTGTTAAATAAAACAACAGTTCAGTGAACAATGCAGTTCTTAATCTTCTGTAACACCTACGTATGAAATTACTACTAAATGACCTGCTTAATTAATTGAAGTAACTCCCCTACTCCTGAAGTTGAAGGCACAATGATGGAGGAAAGCGTAGAAGATACATAGCCTCTAGCAAAATCACCATCTAAAAGCAGTTAAATTTCATATTTTCTCTTTAGTAATTAACTGTTTTAAAATTTTATAACACGTCTTATCTTTACTATTACTGACTTTTGCTTTATTGAATACCTTATTAAGTAGAAAGTTTTAAAGATGTAGCATATGGTTTGAAAGATAATTTCAGTTAGGAATAAATATAAAAATCAGCTTTTAAAAAAACTACCTTTACACTACGGGTAATAAAAAAAAACTATTTCAGACAACGTTTCGTCATCGTAAAAATCTGTCATATTGTACACACTAGTTAATTCATCTAACTTCTCCTTATTCCTTAGAAACAAATACCTTTAATATCTCTTGATTGTAGTCACTATTTGTATTTTTCACCTCAAGATATTGCCCAGTTTCACTCCAATTAGGTAGTCTGCTGTTGCTGATATCGGTATCACGGATGCTCAATGCTCTTTCCGGACAAATAATGCAGTCACTTCGGGCACTATGTGTTAACCACGTGATGAAAACTGAGTATGCTTGAAACCAGGGTTGCCAAGTCCGCAGAGTTGGACGCTTTTTTTTTTTTTTACAGTCAATTTAATTTATTGGAGGTCGAGGTTTGCGTTTTTTAAACTTATCATAATAGGAATGTGCTTGAATCAGCTTTAATTGTACACATTACAAAAACACCTGTATGTATTTATTTATTAAATGGCGTTTCCCTAAATCTCTCTCGGTCATCTGATAGTATGTTGTTATAAAAAGCACGCCACTAAGTATAATCAATTACACTGGCAGTATTTGCATATTCATTAGAGCAATAGCAGTGCATGTGCCACTTCTGACAGTTGGTACACAGAGTGAGGTCGGTTGAAGGACGAGTAAAAAATAGTACTCTAATAATGAAGAGTGTACTCCGAAACGTTTGAACCTTGTAAATAAAATTTTTTGTGCTTTATCAACTGTCTTTATCTTCATTATTAACTTCGATTTTTCCATCATGGTTCCAAAAATAGTACTCTTCTGACACTGTTGTGAAGGCGCATATGACAGGCATTTACAAAAAGTTTTTATTTTCTAACGAAATTATTTTCTGTTAGCATATTTTTGTTAATACAATAACACATATGATAACTTTTAAATACCATATAACAGTACTTTATTTTAGTAATATTATCTATTTTTTATATTAATTCAGGGGATAGCGCGAACGCAGTCCCCAACTACCAAAAATTACACGCTCCATCTGCCCCAGTTTGGGGTAGTGGCAGGGGTCAACCCACCCAGAGTGCAATGGATGAGCCTCGCTCTGGGGAAGCCACCTTGATGATCATGGCGTTCCCAGCGCCAGGTAAGTATGCTTCAATTTGTTTTTGAGTGGAATATGTACTAGATTTGCAGAGACATTCTTTAAGGTATAGTATCAAATCTATTAAAAGAAGTAAAATTACTACTGTATTAATGGATAAATGTTTTTCAGATTTATATAAAATGAAATATTTTATAATGTATTATTTTAATAGACTATAACTATTCTTCTTTAATTTTAAAATGTGCTTAAAAATAAAGTAATAATATATAGAGAATTGAAAGTTCCTATTAGCGTTTTTGGCTACTATCCCGCCGCCTAGTGCCGATCTCTTAAACTATGCTTAAAACAAGTACTGGTTATGCGGTAAGTTAACCCAATGTGGTTTTGCTGTAAAATCGACAGCAACAATGTTACGTAGTTTTGCAATGTTTTTTATTATGGGTGTGAATCATGTTTGCCTCTTTGTTGTCTTCCCCGTGGTACTTTAAGTTCAACGAGTAATTAGAATAACTAACTTAATCAATAATGAATGTTTATCAGTTGTTCATCTAACAAGTAAGTAGTACTTAAACCACTTGCGTTGGGCGTAATCGGCCCTCGTATATTTGTTTCTGGTGCCAGTACTGGCTAAATTAATTCAATTTACTACTTTCTTGCCTCTCAGTTGCACAGCGGTAAGATTTACGTAAGTCTCCAGACTTTAACGCTAAAAACCGGGTTTCTAAACTCGTGGTGAACACAACACAAAAATCTTTGTGTTTCACTACAAACAAAACTATTACTTTCTTACACAGTTCGTGTGTGAAACTTTGGGATTTTTAACAAATTATTATTATTGCAAACATTACTACATTTGCAGTAAATTTTTCTTTTCATGTATTAAGCTTAATCATTACAATTTTCTAGAAATATCTGGGCGTCTATTTTAACTTTCACTATTACAATTAATGTATGTCTTAGTTATCGATGAATTAAAAATGTTAAGCATCCTAAGTTTTCGAAAAAAGTAAGGAGGAGGCTTTTTTTAAATGACCTTATTAAATAAAGATAATTTGCACACCTTTTTTCATGATTTTGTTTGTTTGAAGTTAAGCACAAAGCTACCCAAAGGGGCTGTCTGTGCTCTACCCAACACGGGTATCGAAGCCCGGTTGTTCGCATTGTGAGTCCGCAGATATACCGCTGTGCCACTAGAAAGGGGGGGGGACTTTTATGATTACTACTTATTTTCAAAGGGTCCATGTCAAACAAGATGTCTTTTTTGTTTCATTTTTCCATTAAAATGATACAGAATTTATCACAAATAAAGAAAAAGGGCATAATGAATCAACTGTGTTCATCTCATTTTATAATCAGAAGTCTTCTTGACCAAAAAACGATAATTCAAAAAGAAAAAAAAATCGCCCAAGAATAGTGAGGAGGCACTTGCAAAAAAGGAAGCAGGCAGGGGTGCTAAATTAGTATATGTATATATATTTTTACTTGGCTTGTTTGTTTGTTTGTAATTAAGCACAAAACTACACAATGGGCTATCTGTGCTCTGCCCACCACGGTTATTGAAACCCGGATTCTAGCGTTGTAAGTCCGCAGACATACCACTGTGCCACTGGGGGGGGGCATTTTTACTAGCCCTGAATTTAAAAAAATACCAGCTTGATACATGGCCTAAAAAAGGTAGCTTAAATTTTATGTTTGAATTATGTTGTATACTTCTTGCAAGATAGTATTGACAATTTTGGCAAATTGTTTAGTAACAATATTGAATATTTTTGTTGTGGCTTTGGAAAATATTTATTTCATTGCAATTATTATACTGAGACTACAAGTTCAATAGTAATGTTACACATTTTTCTTTGTACTATTATCTCATAAGTATCACACTATTTATTAATAAACATTCTCACATTGAATAAATATTTAAAATGTGTTGAAAATATCCCCCCTTTCTTTAATAAAAAAAATTGCCTTTCTTTTCATATATAAAATATTCCTTTATACAGAACAGTAAACAAATTCTTATACTTGTTTACCTAAACATTAATGATGATAGTTGAACTTTTAAAAATTTATTGGATTCAGTCTACATATTAAAAAGGGTTATTCCTGAAATACTTAAAAATAAGGCATAAGTCCCTTCTTAAATAATTTTGGCAAAACACGTAGAACCATGTTTGCGAAAGTCAAACATTTAGAAACATAAAACTTCAACAAATAAAATTATGTTAAAACATGAAAAAACTTTTAATCAACTTCATAATTAACAACATTTTGTTTATCACAATGAAAATCTTTTTTTTTGAGCACATATTCTGTATTTTCAAGATTTGCAACATTACTTACTGGGCATGATTTTATTACTACTTCATATGTATGTCAAGAACTTCTTTATTCTTATATATATATTCATTGAATTTGTCTGTATATATTTTCTAACATCAATATTTCATGTGTACACATATAAAAATAGGAAAAGAATATGGTGTTGAATACTTAAACTGAAGTTAATATCACAACCATGAAATATTAAATGCATTGCATCCCACTAAAGGAGAAACAAAAGGGAGCAACATACTAATTAATACAACATTAAAGCTTTTCCATTAAATCATTAAAGAATATGGGCTGGTGGGTGTTTCATAAAATGAATTAGAAAGAAATGAGGGGGCCAATTAAGAGGGAGCAAAAACTACATACAGCCTTGAATGACCAAATGGCTCTTTGTTTTGTATGTAATATCTAATTTTATTTCATTTTTTTTAAAAACTCAATGGATACCAGTGGCAGATCTAAGATTTTAATAAAGAAGAGCTGTAGGTTTGGAGGCAAGGATAAGGGGAAGATCTCCTACTGGATCAGAGACCAATAGCGTTTTGGCAATGGAACCATGACTATAGTCATCATGCTTTTGCCACGTATTTTGAATATATACAAATAAAAAATGTATGATTTTTCTGTTTGCTATGTCAGGAATGGGATGAATGAAACCACATAATAGTTTCTGTTTTTCCATAATCAAAGATAAAGTTTCTAAGCTAATTTTGTTTTAACAGAAATTTATGATGTAAGTATTAACAGAGTCATATGTAATGGGTCGGCGAAAAGTCTGGGCATTCCCACCCTTCAAATAAGGATAGTGTTCATAAAAGAAATAATTTATTGTATATTGACATATTTACATATCTTATATTGACACAGACTAACAAAGTTCAATTAACAATCCTAAATGTCTGTCTGTTGGTCTTCATTTTCATGACAAAGGATGAAACCCTCCATGTGTGATGTGACATCCTCCTTAGTATATTAGGGGTGAGCTTAGCAAGATTTCCAACAATTTTGTGTTTCAAAGCATCAGCCATTTCATATCATACCTTTGCCACAATCTGTTTGATAAAGTCCCACAGTCCATTATCACACGTTTATAGATGTTGCCCACACTTTTTGCCCACCCTGTACAGTGAAGCATATGTCACACCATCCATAGAACAATAATAAAAGATTACATATCTTGATAGAAACTTTCAATACTGTTTAATTTTATATATATAACATTACTCTAAAATATTTACATAAGTAACAATTCATTAAAAACAAAAAAATTCAAAAAGTTTTTTCTTTGAAGAGCTATTACCTCTTAGCAAAAGTTTCTTAAAATGAACACACACTTTCAATGATAGTTTTGTATAAAATAATGGGGC